AGTAGTAGTGTAACCGTGCATGGAAGTTCCTGCAAACCATATGAGTACATCCCACTAACTCTACAATTAATGTGTCTCTATGGGATTTCTCTTTACCAAGATCCCCCAAATGCACACAGCTGCCCTAATGCCACCAGACACAGAGGGAAGTGGGACAGAGAGGAAGTCAGAAGGGAAGAACATGGTGCTTTTAAAAAAGACTTTTTGCAAATTTTACAAAAACACAAGACCATGTGAACACACTGCTGGGCACCCTTAGGGCCTTTGTAGGGAAGCCCTGCAGCTTGAAGTTCCTTAGGGACACTGTAACTGTCCCTGTGTGTGTGGCTTCTGGGTAGCAGGTGGGGCTGCCAGCAGCTGGACAGTTCCCTCCAATCCTTCCTGGCACTGGGCTTCATCAAACTCACCTTTCTGTATTTAAGAAGTAGTTCTACACTGGGACAAAGAGAAGCAATAACCCTCAAGTGGGTCTTCCACCCCCAGATCCACACTAACTCAGTTCGGCTGGGCGGTCCCACTTAAACTGACCGTCAGTTAACCCACTACATCCTTTATCCATCCTTCTGTTGGGTTAGTCCACATTTATAGAACTGAAAGTATTAAATACATTTTAAATGACTTCTGATGTGATATCTTACTTAGAAAGGTCTGCCTTTCTAAAATATAATAATGCAATGGTCCTGGATTTGTGATCTTTCTAATTACAGTTTTTCAACTTTATTATTGCACAAAAATAATATGTACTCAGGAGACATCATACTTCAAGTTCACTTTTCTCTTCCCTGGCTGGCGGTACATGTGATAGGATGCTGTGTCACAGTACTGTCAAAGTCACAAGGGCAAGTCTGCTGTCATGTGCTGTGGTGCAGAGCTAGGATGTCTGGTAGATTGAGGGTATTGAGTATCTTTTGACTTCTGATTTTTTTTTTTTTTTTTTTTTTCCTCTGGGACCGGGAACTGAACTCATGACCTTGCGCTTGCCAGGCAGGCGCTTTGCCGCTGAGCTAAATCCCCAGCCCCTTGACTTTTGATTTTTAAAATTAATGTTACTGGTACATTTTAGGTATACATAATGAGCACATTCATCATAGGGAATTTGTACTTGTGCATAATATATCTTGATTCTTCTTTTTCCCCATTCTTCTCCCCTTTCTTCAATCCCTCTTCCCCACCTTATTTACAAAAGCTTGTTTCCATTTTTCCTTCTCCTTTCTTCCTTCTTCCCTTTTGCCCTTCCTTCTTCTTTGTTCCTCTTCTCATTTGAGCATTTCTTCCTATTTTAGAATATCTATTATACATCTTGGTTCCTTATTTACCCTTTCAGTTTCCCACACCACAGAAACAATATGATGTTTAAACGTGTGTGTCCCATTTATTTCACTTAAGAGTATGGTCTCAATGTACATCCATTTACCTAGAAATTTCTGAAGTTTATCCTTCTTTATGGCAGATTAGTACTCCACTATATACAAAAAAAAAAGCCCCTTCATGTCTTTATCCATTCATCAGTTGATGGGCATTTGGGTGTTTCCAAGATTTAGCGGGTTACAAACTATGCTGCTATAAACATGGGTGTTTATATACTGCTGTGGTATGATGCTTTTAATTCTTTTGGGAAGATAGCCATGAGGAGAATAAGTGGGTCAAATGGAACCTCTAGTTTTAGTTTTTTGAAGAAATATTTTCAACTTACAATGGGCTTATTGGATGTGATACTGGTAAGTTGAGGAACATCTCTACAAAAATTCATGGCTTATTGTAGTACTTTTATGATTTTTAATTTTTCCTGTCTTTCTTTCTTCTTTTTTTTTTTTTTTTTTTCTCAGTACTAGTATTTGAATCTAGTGAGTGCTGAATTACATACCCAGTCCTTTCTATTATTGTATTTTTTGGGGGACAAGATCTCCCTAATTTGCTCAGGCTGGGCTTGAACTGGTGATCCTCTTGATTCAGCCTCCTTAGTAGCTGGCATTATAGGCATTTTTAATTTGAAGTATTTGATTCCCCAGGGATTTGTTTTGATATAAGTATCTATGTTATTTTATCTAGAAGGCTTCCCATTACCACAAGGTAATTTATTGAAAAATACATTTTGTTTCCACTAATTGAAAGATTACCTTTGCCATATATAAGTTTATTTTTTATTTTTTTTAATGTTTTTGTTCTTTTTGAGACAGGGTCTCACTATGCAGCTCAGGCTGGCCTTGAGCTCACTTTGTAGCCCAGGCTGGTCTCAAACTCACAATGATCCTCCTGCCTCAGCCTCCCGAGTGCTGGGATTACAGGCATGTGCCACCATGCCCGGCTCCATATATAAATGTAAATATATATTTGATCTTATTTTGTAGATTTTTAGTCTGTTCCATTGAACAGTGTGCTTATTCATGCACCAGCTGTTCACAATAGCTCTGTGATATGCTTTGATTTTGGTCTGGTCTAGGTCTCTGAGTGACAGAAATGCCTCTCTTCTGTCTAGCTCAGAGTACAGGTCCCTTCTTTAATCAAGGTAAGCTTTCTCCCCGAGACCTCTCTCTCCTCATGCAAATAAACTCTTGGCAAGGTGTGCTTCCTGATGCCAGATGAGCTGAGATATATCTAATTCTACTAGCATATCGAATTCTCCTTGTGCTAAGACCCTCCTAGACAATGTTGAGGAGACAGACTTGGTACAGGCTGCAGAAGGCCTCCGACACACCCAAACAAGTCTTGGCCTCACATTACAAGCAAGGAATAAACTAAAAACATCAGTGAATGTATTTGAACCACAGAAAGGCTTACATAAAAATTTACTGAGCTTCTCTCATTGCCCACATACTTGCTCACCCTGAGCTGAAATATCACCTTGCCAGAGGGGCCCCATCAAGACACTCCTTGCTTTATTTCTAATAAAATAATACTTTGAAATGCTACTATTTTCCTTCTCTTTCTTTTCCCATCCCACAAGAGAGGCAGGTACCCATCTTAGTGCTATATTGCCAGGGCCTGGCTCATAGTAGATAATCAATAAATAGGTTTTGAAATTGTTGAATGAACTTGATCCAATAAATGGACTTAGCCGAAGACTTTTTTTAATGACCTGCTTAAGGGTTCACAACTCATTACTGGCAAAGCTGGGAAAACATTAGTCTATCTGGTCAAATCCACTGCATCCAGGTGAACAGGCAGCAGGTAGGAGGTGAGTTAAAAAGGGTGAAGAACAGGGGACTGAAACCTCTACAAACTGTGAACCAAATAAACCTTTCCTCCCTTAACTTTGGGAGTTGGGTATTTTGTCTAAGCAGTAAGTAACTGAGACATAGTGCTAGGCATGTGCCTGGTGCTTCGCCTGTGTGATCTGACTTGCAGCCTGGGCTGTTGGTATTATTATTCCCATGTTTATGAGCGAAGGAAATGGTGGCACAAGAGTTTAAATGAATTTACCTGTGTATGATGGGCTTAATTACTGAGCTTTAGGAATTAGATAGGGTCCTGCCTTCCACACAGCCCCTTCAAACTCAGGATAAAGAGAGCATAGTTAGAAATGGGGACGGGGAGAGAAGTAGACTCCAGATTCGCTCCCCTTTGTCCCCATAGGCACACTTGTCACTCTGGGTTTTAGTCTAGAAAGTAAGGCCCTCCAAGCCCCGAATGCAGACCTTGCCTCTGCAGGGCACAGCGCCAGGTTCTGTGCAGGCCACAGGCTGTAGAAAGCTTCTTTGTGCAGAGAATGCCTCCGGGGCCTGCGTTTTGAAGGTGGCCCCCTGCTCAGCGTAGTCCCAGACCACGGAAACCAATCCTGCGCCTGTGGGTCGGGGGTGGAAGGAGACCTTCAGAGATTATGTTACCGCGCAGGTCCTCACTCCCACCCCTCCCCTCACAGCACAACTCACCCTGGCTACGAAGGGCTCTCATAAACAACTCAGATCTGAAACTCTGGCAGCTCCCCCTCTGCCCCTCCACCCCTGGGGGGCTTCAGGAGGGTCTGGGCTGTCGGCCAGCCCCAGACAGTCCCCAGACTGCAGCGGGGAGCGGGGAGTCAGTGCAGTCACCCTTTCCTTCCTGCCTGGTCTCCAGCCCAGAGTTTCCTCAAGCCCCAGCTCCCCACCCTGCCCCCTTAACCCTGTCTTCCAAGGGAAGGGTGGGAGAGGCGCACTTCTCGGGAAAGGCTGGCCGGCCTTGCGAGCGAGGGAGTCCCACTCCGCATCTCGAAAGAGGGTCTCTCAAACCAACCCGCCCCTCCTTCCCCGAGGAAGCGGGTGCGTGGAAGGAAAATAACTTTGACCCCTGGATTCTGGCTCGGGGCCCAAATTCGGGGAGAAGGCAGAGGGTTCCGGGACCCTCCCCGCGCCTCCTCTCCGCCCCATCTCCCCCACTCCCTGCCTCCCGCGCCCCGCTACGCGCCGGGGCAGCGGAGTCTGCCCGGGAGGGACAGGCTGAGCGCCGAGGGGAGGCGTGGGGGGCGGGCGGAAGGGCCGCGGGCGCCCGGCCGGTCCCACCCCCAGCTTCAACCCCCGGCAGGAAGAGCTCGGTCGCGGAAGCGGTCGCGGAAAGGGACGGAGGGCGGGCGCGGGGCC